AACTGAAATAAACTGGATTAACTTTTATGGTAACCAGTTAGATAAATGTATCAGGAAAACCTTCAAAATGTTGGGATGTGTTAGGCTAAGCATAATATTTCCAGAAAATGCATAAATCATTTTGCAGAGGTCATTTAAAACCAGGCTGACACAACAATAAAAATCTGTAGTACAGAACACCCCCACACTACTAGGAGATGGACTCAATTACACTGCAGGTCTTTTTCAAGGTTTGGCTTCTATGACTCTTTATAGAATTGGGGCCCTGTAAAGGGAAGGAGAAAAAATGTTGGCTTATTACCTTTGTTGATTAACAGATCAATTTTCTCAAGCATTCAAGTACTTTATAGGCCTACAAAGTATAGACTGTAGGTAGAGAATTACAGATTTCCCTGACAAGGTGTAGTTTATTACTGACATTCTGCAGTGGAGCAGTAATGACAGCACATGCCACTTCTATTTATCTGCATTTCTCATGCTGGCTTTGGAAGATCGGGAAGGAGAGATGAAAATTCTTGCTGGGAAGTGAAGGACTTACAGGATGACAAGGAGATTACAGATTTAAGGATCTGTAAACAGGCAGGCATCAGTTCATTTCTCCCTGAATTGCAGCCACTTCTAGGTGAAACAGCAAAACTGATTACAAAACCCAGAGACACTTAGGATAGGAGGTGAGGAACGGTGTGTTATTGCTTAAGAGGGAATTGGAACAAAAAGTCAGGAATCACTCAGAAGCACTGCGCTGCAATGATGAATGAAAAGGTTCGCCTCTAGAACTTAAGTCTCACTCTGTCCCCTGTCACACTCAGGACATTCCCCTCTCTCGCCATGAAGTCAGTCACTGCTCATATACGAGGAAGCTCAGCTACTGCCAGATACACCCACTGGGACATAGCAGCTATATAACTTCCAGGAGACAGACAAATAAAGCTATCTCAGAGCTTGGAGCAGAAAGAAAAGACAGGCTGATCCAGTGGGATCAATCTATGATCTGTCACGAGCAGTTGCACAACTGACCAGTGAGAGAGGGCACTGCTGGTGGGGGCATGCAGCCAGCAAGCAACTGCTGCCTCCTCCACCCACCTCTCCCTCTGTCTGCCCTTCATCCAGACCTACATAGGCTCCAAATTAATTTTACTACCTGGAATGCTATTAACACAATCAAATTATGAAAGAAAAGCTCATCTTGAGAGAAGGCAAAAAATCAGTTCCCTTCTCTGTCTCACAGCTGTCCCCTCCTCCTCACCATGTGTTCCTGAAACCTGGGGCTGTTCCAAGCACTAAATGCACTGGAAAGGGTATCCTTGGGCCAGCTGTGATCTGATCACGGCACATTGGCTGCGGGTGAATCAGAAACCAACTGATAGGCCCAGGAACAATGCCGCCCCTTGTTAGGCTCCCAGAACAACCATCGCCTTCAGCCTCTCCCAGCCAGTCTTCAGCAGAGTGGGATGCCAGGACAGCTTCTGTAACATGTCCTGCATGATCCTTTCCCACCAACCCTGTGCTGAACTGCAGCTATTTTCTGGTTTGAATGACACGCTCCTTGTGTTGTGAGAGACTCTGGGTGGGGACTGTTGCAGTCTCTTTGGAAGTGGCGCACAGCAAGTGACAGGCTGATACTAATATTTATGTGCGAGCTGCCACGGGGCAGCCCTGGCAGCAGCACCTGGGACCATGGTTCTTCTGGAATCCCAAGGCAGGAAACCACCAGGGAAGCTGCTTCTCATCGGCCTCATAGAGCACTCACTGGATTGTACAGATCCCAGGAACCAGATTTTATCTGGCCTCACAACTCTGCCGATGTTTTGTAGACTTTGTATGTTTATGACATTAAGTAAGCACTATGGAAATGAAGCAATGGCACAGAGCCAGAGCACTCTGTTTTTCTCAGCCCTTCTCACAGCTAGGCTGTTGCAATTCTCAGGAGCAGATGCTGCAGGAAGAGGGTTAGTGGTGGAAGAGGGCTCAGTCTTCTCCAAGGCAATATTCTGAGGGGGAACAGAGTGCTGTTTGGAGGGAGAATAAGCCGTGGCCTACACAGATTTGAGGCAGTCTGCAAAACATTGCAGAGAAATTTAACCCAAGTGTCACATCTAATAGTTCTTTGCATTTGTATTGAATTACTGTGCCAAAGCAGCAACCAGGATTGCCCAATATTTGGTGGTACAGCCCCATCTTCAGGGTAAATATGCTTTGCCAATCAATTCCCACTGCAATTTTGATTAGACATAATTTCCTTGCTTCCTGCCCTAAACACTTGCCATGTTGTACCACAGCTGCATTTCAATAGTGCACAAAGGATCTAAATACACTGGTTCTAGCAAATTTCAGTGTAAATATGGACCCGAAATTGGGATCCTTCCAATTAAGAAATACTGCACTGGTGCAAGACATTACTAATTGTTGATAAATGAAAACTACAGATTTGTTCTGTGTTTTTTGCTAGTCCAAACTGCTTCATAAGCTAGGAATACTACATACCCTATATGGGAGCTACTTACCATTACCAAAACAGTCACTTGCCTGGTGGGAAGCTCTTATGAGCATACCAGCACCAGCTCACAAAAGAAATAGAGCAGAAAGTTAATTTTCCTGGAAATTAGTGTTGACTTGGATAGCTGTAATAAGTTTCTAATCACATCCAAACTGATTCTACAGCTGTGGCTCAAATTGTATATACTTTCCCACTCTATTGACTTTGCTGTGCAACTTCTGCATTTTGGGCCAAAACACCCCGAATCTGATCCTGATATTCCACTGTACTACAGTTAAACCAGAAGTGAAATTTGTCTGTCTATATCAGACTTAAATAATTGAAATACACAGTAATATGTGTACAGAGATTAAATATTTTATGAAATATGTAAGTCAGCAAGAACCATATATTGAGCCATCACAACAATGAATATGAGGTACAGCAACTGAGTATAAAGCCAGCAAAAATTTAACATGAGTAAATTTTACTAAATATTAATCTGTATTCTACAAAGAAAACTATCAGAATTTTCTTGATACATTGAGCTCAATAAATTTGTTTTGCATAGATGTCTGTGAGTGCGACAGAGAGAGAATTAGTCTGGAATGCTATAAGGATGTCAGCCAAGCTCCCAGCATCTGGAAAGCAGAAAGCAGAACTATATATAGTGCACAATGACTTGCAATAATCTGGGGAGGGAGCAGAGAGGAACAAAAAAGAACAAGAGAAAAGAACAAAACTTAAGATGGCAGTTTTGGACAATTAAATTAATTATAAAGAAAAAAGAACAATGAGGCTGGGAGAAGGATAAATGAAACCCTGGCATATATGTTATTATAAGAGTTTCTACAAGCAGAAATGTTGTATAGAGTTAGCAGACATATTTATAAACATGCTATAGATAATGAATACTTCAGTATAAATACCACCTCTAAGAATTTCTGGCACAGAACAACTAGGGCACTGACCTCTGCTGTACATTCATTTCCTTTATGTGGCTGAAATGGCCTAAATATATTCCTTAGTTAGGCATGGGAAACTTTTTCCATATGGTAACTGCATCTGCAAGAGTACTCTGCAGTGTAACTGCACTCGGTTATGATTGTGTTATGGACTCTTTGCAAAGCATGTAGAGGTTTACTGTGTGTTCCTCTACACCTACTTGTGAACAGAACAAGCACCAAACAAAAGGTAACTTTCACTACTGCTATACATTCAAAACAAAAATGGTGTAACACTTCCTAAGTTCCTTATTGCTATAATAAAAACAAGGTACTGAACAGTCACATTCACCTTCTATCACTTACATAGTTTTTGTTTTATCCTTTGCTTGACTTAAATATTCCATACACAAACGCTTCAGTGTCACTCATTTCCTGGCACTTTCTCAGACCTGAGATGCCAGGATTCCAGAGCCTCCACCTTCAGCACTTTAAAGGAAACCTCAAATAACAAACATAACCTGTTAAAACTGAGGTACACATTTCAGGCACACTGATGCTGTTTAAAGGACAACTAAGATGAAAGTAAACGGTATTACTGGCAAAACAGTAAAAAGATTATTATATTCATGAATGTCAAAGTATTTTCTGGTGTTCAAACTAATCTAGTTTACAGCTTCTAGGAAGCGATGTGCTGCCAAAAGATGATGTGTGGCCAAGAAAGACACCTGAAGTGTTGAGCAGAAGAGAGAGCAGAAAGTGCTACCTGTGCACAGGTAGCAACTCCCTAAGCTTGGTGAAAGACACCAGAGATGTGGGGCCTGTGAGCTGGGAGGAGAAGCTGGGTCTTGCCTGCAGTGCCAGGCAATGAGCAGAATACTGCCTTTGAAGCACAGACCAGAGCAGCAATGAGCAGAATATTGCCTTTGAAGCAGACCAGACATTTTGAGAAGAAGCAAGGAGTGCTTCTGTGATTTGGCTGCTTTAGCCACAACTCTATACTTCACTTGTATTTACAAATAATAGCCAAAAAAAAGAAAAAATGACTTCTTTCTGTAATAAGCAGTTTGGGAGAAAGTCAAAAACCGGAAGCCATTTTCCATCTGGCTTCGAGATCAGTTAATATTTGTAGGGACCTGTATAGCCTCTTATTTGTAAACTTCAAGTTGTGTCTCTCTCTAAATTAGTGCTCTCATGTCCCTGTGTACAGGTTACAGTCTGTTTTTGAGATGTAGTCTTGCTGGCTCTCCATGTATTAGACAGCTGTATTACTTTTATGTCCTACTGTGCTGTCCTTAAGGACAAAAGGAGAGACCTTGTTCTTTGTTGTACTAAATATGTAGTTTCTAGATTAGACTCTGCTAATTAATGTACCAGCATTTGTGATACATGTGCATATGAACTGGAGCTAGACCAAACCTACCCACTGCAGAGCTGTAACTGAGATACCTATTCTGCACCGTCTCACATGTACTTCACCAGTCATTCACCAGTCATACAATATACATGGATAATGTAAAACAATGAACAATTTTTCAATACAGTACAAGTGATGACATCAGCATTGTATCGCTTTTTAGATCCACAGATATCCAGCAACAGAAAGGATGGGCAGTAGGTACCTTTACTACCTTGGAAGCAGAGTGCAAACAGGGCAATATAAGAGATTCACAAAACAAGGAGACAAGGATGCCAAATAAAAGGAGGTAAGGATTGAGATAACTACAGAGAAACTGTAGCAATGCCCATAATTCTGTCTGCAAGGGCAATGTCAGAAACAGTAATGTAAATGATTGTATCAGTCCTTCAGTTGATATAGGAACCAGGGAAATAAGGACACTTAACTGGACAATGCAGACACCGGAGCACAGCTCTGTGATGGGACCTGATTTCTACTAGGTGAGATCACAGTGCCTAAGGAAAAAGACAAGAAAGCACTGCTGCTCTCTCGGATATGACATGGAGCTTTCTTTTTCTCACACTGCCCTCAAGCAGGCCACTCATATGTTTTCAATGAAAAACATATGTTTGAAATGTTATAAATGAAAGCTGCTAAAGAAAACTGCTATTATGAGTAGATTTTGATACATGTTTTACATTCTTTGGGGTCTGAGATCCCATTTGAATCAGAACTGCTGTCTGCAAACACCCTGCTGAAGTCAGCAGAAGATGAGGATTTACTGTAATCACTACAGCACTGGGCAGTGAGCTAGGTTCATTCCTGAACAGTTTCCTAAGAGATGTTAACAGCCTCAGCTGGGTGCTCTTTGTAGTTCTGGCAGAGGTCAGCTCTGTCTCTAAGCACAAATCAGAAAAGTAAATCTAGTCTAAACAATTCTCTGTACTGTTCCAGAAGCAATTAAAGGCACTTTGCTTTGTGTATTTCCCCCAGGTGTGAGCAGACACTTCCCACAGACAGTTTGCACAGCAAAAGCTCAAAAAGCATAAACTCTTTGCGGAGGAAAAGGCAAAGAAACCTCCTGTTTTATGTATGTAAATCTGAACTGGACAAAATAATGCAGGAGTAGCTTATCCACACACTGCCTATGACCTGTACTTGGATAAAAGTAATGGTAAAACAATTCCTGTTCAACTCTTCTAACTCCATCAGGCTCTTTATTAGCAAGATTAATACAAATAGATTAGGTATTCACTTCTCAATTTGGTATTATTTGGCTAGGAATGAAAATGTAACGTGGTCTGTCAGCATGTCACCTACATTCATGACAGAGATACTAGCACTCATGAAGCTAAAACCATCACTCATCTATGAGTTTTATAAAATCAGCAATGATGTGAAAACTGTAGAAACAAGTGAGTACAAAGTTAACTCACATATTTTAAAATTACTAATTATAAATATTTAAATTATTATATAACACTTTGTTAAAGTGCATTTGGCTGTTTCTTTGTTCAGGATTCTCAAAAAAATTGAACCATAAATACAATTACTAATAAGTATTCACATAATATTAGGTATACTCATTATACCTAAAAACTCCTGCTGGTTTTGCTAAAAGCCGGGACCAGCAGTCCTAGGAATTCAACACAGTGTCTGTGAATCTCCTGTGCATTATTGTCGGAACCCAAAATGTCCCTCAGACATTTTCAGAGGTTCCAGGCCTTGGTCAGAAGCATTTTAGACCCTGGCAAGCAGCTGAAAACAGCTGTGATCTTGAGTTTGAACCATGGAATGAATTACCAACTTTGAAGGTGGAACAAGCGGTCACAGAGAGTTAGATGGTATAGTAAAAGTAGTCACAAATTAGAGGGAAAAATTTTTTAGTATTGTACAGGGGGGTTTTAGTACCTGTACAGGGGGGTTTTACTTTGTACATGGGGGTCAGGAGTTCTAAGATGGAGGAAAGTGGGCCTGATCCTGTTCTTCCTCCTTCTTCTTCCTTACCTCCATGTTCTTGGTGATGTTGGCATTTTTCTATTGGTTTAGGCTGGGGACACACTGTTCAACGTAGATGATAGATATTGGCACATTATTGTAAATATAGTACACATAGTTTCTGGTATATAATGTTTGTACCATCCCACTGAGGGGCAGAGCTCCACACGCTGCCCTGCAGGACAGACCTGCGGCAGGGCAGCAGAACATGTTAGAGATAAGCAAAAATAAACAACCTTGAAAACAGCACAGACGAACTATGGCTTCTTCTTTGGCAACGGGGCAGAAAGACACAGACTTTCTACAATCTCGGAATCACCAATACCCACAGATTCTGACACATTATCACTGGTGTATTGTTAGTTTTCCAAAACAGAAATCTACCCTAGCATCATGATAGAAGGGATGAAACATGAGTAGCTCATGGAGTCAATATTTTTACATTTATTCTCTTATATTCCTTTTTTAAAAATCATAATTGACACATTCACGCATGGGGTACCTCTCCAGCCTTGGTGCAGCGCAAGTCCCTCCACAGCTTTTATTCATGGCTGTGGCAGTGAATAAAAGAAACAAACTGATTTAGGGGTAGTTTGATTAGACAAAAAACATCTAAACCCCTAAGGTTCCCAGATGTGGCTCACATCATGATCACACAGGTATGATCACAGCTTACACAGCAAAGTGCACAGGCAGAGGAGCAGGCAGGCAGCAGTAACTGTAAGGGTAAAGCATGCTGGAAATGTAACCTGAAATCCTGCCCTTAGCCTGTGGCTACAAACTTTATCCCTGCTTATCCTGGCATAAGTGCCTTCTAACTGCAGAACATTCCCTGAAACCAACTCCCAAAGCATGCACTTACGGTATTGACAGTGACTGGCAGAAGGCAGGAGTGGAGTGCCCTTACTCTGGCATAGCTGACACTGTCTGCAGGCCAGGAAGCAAACCTGCTATTGTTAGGGGATGCCAGTAGCTTGTGCTGGCACCAGATGGGATTTTGCTGCAGCCTTGCAGATTTCTGCTTCTGGTTTCTGAGCAGTGCCAAACACTGCTTGTCCCAGTCTGCCCTTGAATGGAAGACCTTTTCACCAATGGTGCATCTCCACCCATTGCTAATTTTCACCAGCAGCAGCCAGGTGGTTTCCTAATATGCAGAAGATGCAGATGCATAAAAAAAGGATTAAAAAAAGGACAGTGCTTTATAATGTATTTTTTTACTGTTATTTGACACTGATGATCACTACCAGCCCCAAAGAGTCCAACTTCATGAAAGGAAAGATAACAACTGGCAGCAGAAAGGAGAAACACCTGTTGTTGTATCAAGAGGTTTGCATTAATCACTTCACCGTTGCAGTAAATTCTAAAATAAAAATCTGTCCCAGTGGTTCCTCATTGTAAGAAGCAAGACACAGCTAGGGGCCTGGACTTGGTAAGGCTGCAGAGGAAATTACATATAACTGTAAGTTATATTCAGAGAGATGAAGATACCAATCTAGAAAGCTTTTAAAAAGCAAACCAAAACTTTTTTCCTCTATCTGTGTCCCCTAGAACACCAGGTAATTCTCACCTCCATTGTCAGGCAGGTGATTTTACCATTTACCATTAGATTACCTTCATTTAACATAGGAAGAATGGGAAACTAAGTGCACCCATTAAATTTTATGCAAACAATCTGCTCTGGGCTGTCTGGAACCTGAAAGAAACGTGTCACCCTGGGTGATCTAAAATGAATTTTTGGCACATGAATTCAGACAGTATTCTATAAATCTATGCTGCAGCCCAAATTCCTCCCTGTAGATTATACCAGTGAAGAAGAGGGTCCCTAGTCAGTGATAGCATAATGTCAGATTCTGGAACTATGTGGAACTGGCACAAGCTCTGTAATAACAGAAATTATTAAAATGTTTTTACTACAGTAAAAATGGCTTCTCCACTCCCTCTGACAGTGGATTAGAGGAGAAGCTAGGGCACAAAAAGACAAGCTATTTGCAGATATTTGCCCCTGAGGTGCCAAGCTATCATTCATAACATGACTACCCCAAAGTATTAATTTGTCAGAAGACAAAGCATACCTAGATTTATTTCAAATTGTTTTCTTACATGCAATTACAAGGGAGGGAATGGGCAGCTGTCTCTTCTCATCAATGAAACCCTAAGTGGGAAGAATTCTTTACTGGGTAGCTGACTGTCCTAAGGCCATTTTATACTTTCACATGGCTTAATAGACTGGAGAATTAGAATTGTTGGGTTTTATTCAGTCAACAAATACGAAGTATTTTAGTTTAATTAACAGTATCCTTTTGAAGTTGTGAAAATATATTTATGTACTTATGTATTGATTTCTGCCCAGAATTCCAGCTGAAATGAAAGTCATGAAGGATTATGTTAGCTTTCAGCTGCTATCATAACATCATTGCAGAACACTGTTTAATTAAGCCAAATTTTCAATTGCATTTTAAAACACATCCTGGCCTCACCTCTCTTGACTGCACTTGGGGCGATCCAGCAGTGCTATGCAGGATTACACACCAAAAATATCCCAATGTGTTCAGGCCAGACTGAAGTTGCTTTGGTTATGAGATTCAGGACCAAAAGTACAGGCAGGAGCTACACCTTTGTTGTGAAATAGCAGGAGCACAACTGTGAGGAGGAAGTTTGCAGTGTACCTGGGAGTGTTATGGCTGCATGGAGCTGGCACTCCCAATGTTTCACTTTTCTGCCCACAAGACATGTCTAAATATCTTGAGAAAACAAGAAACAAAACAATAGGTGACTGTAGTGTGAATTATAAAAGTCTGGCTTCCCTGTTGGAAGGGAAGCTGCTCTTAAACTGCCCCAGCTGTGCTTTCACCATCGAGGATGTCAACACAACTCCAGGGAATCACTGCCTTGTGTTCCCTCTTATGACATCTACAGCACCCGTTTATAGACTGTATTGTAAGACAGGTTCCTGAGCCAGAAGGTCAGCACTACTGCCTCTATACTCCAGAAATATAGGTTTGCTATGATACTATACCAGCAACAGCTAAAAAACCCAACAAACCAGCCCAAGATGAAAATAATACTGCATATGGGATGCACTGAGTTGTCAGTAGTATAGTGTTTTGTTCCTAGCAGGAACAGGTAGAGCAGACATTAGAACTACTCACTGACACATCCTGAGGGATTCTCTGGTAGAGCAAAAAGTTTTCTAAATATATGACAGACTGTGTGCCTCTACGAGCTGATTCAGAGGCAAGGGCCAAATGAGGCTTGGCTGAAACTACATGGATTTTAGGCAGCTCCCCTAAAATTAATGTGTCCCTACAACGAATGCAGTTTTTCTTTCACTACCAGGAGCCCTCATCTAAGTCATTCCAAGCTAATAATGTACTTCACTTACTGTGTGTTTTGATTTTTTGAGAAGATGAAAAGAGATACCATGCAACCATCTTAAGTAGTTCTCTTTTGTAACTGCAGTCAGTTCTTCAAATGCTGGTGTGCCAACTAAAATAGCACAATCTTTCCTTCCCTCTTCTTGTTTCCAGTGACAGAAGAGCAAATTGTAAACCAGGTCTGCTCCAGACTGTGTATCAGTAGGTGTCAGCTATCTGAAAAGGCATGCTCTTCCCTTCCTGTCAGTGTTTCCCTGGTTTCTACTCATATTGGTTTTGGAATAGAAGAGTGAAATCACTCCAGTATTTTTCATCAGGTTCAAATCTACTTAAAAATAGATACAAAAGGAAAAAAAAAATTATATATTCTTTGTTGATTTATCTATGAGTACTGGAAAGCAGTTGTATTACTGATGTTTTGAAGGATCAGACACCTTCAAGGTCAAACAGCACCATCCAACATATGGCAGTAGATGAAGGCTGGTTTTGGCCTCTCATATTCCCTCTGAATCCTTCTAAATCACCCCTGCCAACAATACAATCCTTGAAGATCATTAACAATACTCAGAAGAGCAAATTCTCACATATGTAATAGGTTAGGTTGCACCAAAGAGGTATGAAAAATTCCCTGGGGAAAGACACCTGCAGATTCTGTTCCTTGACCATCAGCTCTGTTGCCCCTACACAGGATTGATGTTTGATTCAGCACTGCATTAGCAGCACATATGCAAAGTATGTCTCAGGAATAAACATCACCTCTTCTGAAAAAGATCAGTCTTATAGTTTCATTTTTCAGATGATGTTTCCTTCCAATTTTGATCAAATGGAAATTACTCCTGGTTAAAATAAGAAACAATTGAATACATTCCCTAACTCATTCTCTTCATGAAAATACATACCTTTGAGCACAAAACATTTTAACACAGATTGTTGTTGGAAGCATTTTTCTGTAAGGGGCCCACAAACATTAAAAACACATAAAAATACTGTATTAATCAGCTGAAGTCCCCTTAGCAGGGTCTGTAGCACACTGTATGTAATTCACAAGTCATTGGTAGAACTCTTATTTTTTCTGACTGCAGTATATATTTCAGGTAAATGTAAACACAATCAATGTAAAATTTACATCTAAATTTCTCTCTGATTTCTCAAACAAACAGAGACAGGACTTCCCAAGGGAATATATACATATGGACTTCCCCACAAGCATGATAATATACTTAGAAGTTCTCTAAAGAGAAATAAAAAGGAAGAAGCAGATGAGGAATTTCTAGTCTACGTCAGGTAAAATGTTTGCATGCTACAGAAGGAAAAGGAAAAGAAAGAAAAAAAAAAAAAGATCCCAGTATAGTAGCTTTCCTCACATCCTTCAAGGCTCATCTGCTCAGTGTATCAGTCACTCCTGTTATCCTTGGAGATACAGGAGCTGACTTGCCAACAAAGTGGAGAAAAGCCACTTGAAACCTTTTTCTTCCTCAGTGCAGTACAGTCATACTGTCAAAGAAAACAGTCTTCCAACAGTACATCTCCCACGCATATATTTTACACTGGAAAGAAGCGAAGGATATTTTCACTTTAAATAGCGCAGTGAAATTTATCTTTTGCAGGCTCTTTGTTGGGATGTATTTTGTTGGAGCACTGAGGTGCTATTTAATTACATGTACATATTAGAAATTTTTAATTAATTTGCTCTTCTTCCAATCCACAGCTCATTTTCAACCAGTTCATCAAAGATCTGCTTTTGGTATTTGGAGAAAACACAAAAGAGAGCCTGTGAGCTGTGCTCACATTATGCAATGATTGACTTAAGTGGGAACTCATGGGACTGAAGGATTTGGCTCAAATATGCAGTAGCTCACAGGAAAGTCCAAGATGTTAGGTGCCAGAAGATTTGGCATATAAGATGTTTAGTTACTAAAGCATCTGCCACTGCAGCAGGTAAAGTATAAAAGCAAAGAGGGAGGTTCTAGTTTGGAAAGAAGCAGATGACACTGCATTATCAGTACAGTACTAGACAGATACAACTGGATTTCATCAGGATTGCATCTTCCTATGAATGGCAATAAGAAGCTGTTTACAGACACAGCCAAATCAGAGAGGGAAGCAAAACCCATATGATATTCAATGTGCCTGAGAGGAAATGAGACCTGCACTCTTGCTGTGGGAAAGCAGAGTCCTCACTAGGAGTAAAAAGAGAACTTCTACATGTAGTGATAACCCCTTGCTCAGCTCAAATCACCTTCAGTCAAGAATCCCTCTTGACCTTCCTGGTTGCTCTGGCTCTGCATTCATTGCTGAACTCCTTACTCTTGAGTTAAGGCCCAAATGTATTTTGTGAGTGAGCACATATATTTAATCTCTCCCAAATGTTCCATCTCAAAGTAATGGCATAATACCTGGCTCGTTCTTTCAGCTCCACCAAACAATAACTGCCAGGAAAACAGCTTAATTCAGCCATTCCTAACAAAATACAGTTAAGTCCTTAACACACAGCCTTCTTTTTAGTTGGGCTGCTGCTTTTTTGGTGCAGTTCTTTGTAGATTCCCATGGTTAATGCCAGTTGAATTCCTCCTCCAGACAGCAACCTGCTTCTTGTAGAAACAAATACATTTACATTTGGAGAATTTTACAGCTGGAGCATTTCCTAAGTCCTTCACTTCTGGCATTACCTTTTCTCCTAACAGCCTGCACAGGCACCACCTGAAGGCAAGATACTGGTATTAGCATTGTCTCTCAAAACTTCGACTTTCTGTGATCTCTTCCCATGAATGTGAAAGTTGGAAGAACCAAAGAACTCTTTCTCTGTGCTAAAATGGTGGAACTTTCCATACAAGCAAAAGTAAAATGGACTTAGAAACCAAACGACAGTAAATGACAGAGTTTGTACCTCCCTGTCAGATGTGCTAGAGCACCACTATGGTAACAGCTCAGTGGGCACTATGTACATGCAAGGGCTTTGAAGCAGGGGATGAGGAGAAGCAGTTAGTGACATGTAGAGATGTGGAAAGAGGGAGGAAAAGGTCTGAAAAATCCTGAAAAAAAAAAGATTCTAGTGCACAAAGGAAAAGATTTCTCTAGTGCCAATCCTTCTTGGACTTTGGCTCATTCAGCAGTGGTGAACTGACCAAGACCTAGTGGATGGCTGCACGCTGTCCAAGGACTATCTCTGCAGTGTGACAGCAAAGATGCCATGGCAAGGAAAGGAAGCAGGAACCTCTTGGAAGTATCATAAAAGGCTAACTGATTCCCTTTCATATACAGAGTTTCCACCAGACTCTGGGAGAACATTTAAAAAGCCCCATGGTATTTTCTTCTTCTTTAAAAGGGACCAGTACACTGTTCATAGTCCCTGCTAAAAGTGAGACACTCACTGTCTGGTTACTCTCTGTCCAATGGAACAGGATCTTTTTTGTGAACTTTCCTGGGGCACTGTATGTGACAGGAGATAGTAGACAACATGACAGACAACAGTTCTGAATAAGCCAACAGTTACTGAATAAGACCATACAACATGTGGATTCAATTTCTGACTCTGGTAGACTTCTATAAGAGAAGACTTCACCAAGAGACTCCTTCAACACTTTCATTATATCTCTTCTGAGTAAGACGACAATAACACCCTCTCACCATATATTAATACTTTACCATAGAGATATTAATTCCTATTTGTACTCAATCCTGTACTTGGGAAGTAAACATGGCAAAGAGAAGAATGTCTGCACCTGCACAGCCTAAGCAAACATCATCAGTTCCCTGAAGAATTCTGATATGCAATCCATTACACAATTATACAATTGATCTAGTGGCAAATACAGCCTTGCAAGGCTTCTGCAGTGTTGTAAACCTTACTTTCAATGATCTTAGCTTTTGTAGATTTTAATTGATTAAGCAAAAGTGTTACAATGTACTTTCAAGTGGCCCTTAATAAACAGATTTTGCTTTAGAAAGGGTATCTTACTGAGTCTACAGTCGAATATTTGCATGTGAATTAAGACATTTTAATTAAAACAGATTTGTTTATTTTAGAACACACTAGAGCCATCCACTGCACAGCTGAGTTTCCAGCACACCCGTACTGGATGCCAAGCTAGAACATCACCTTTCTAACTAAAACATAAGTAAAAGTCTTAGGAAAAAGCATCCTTAACAAGCATGAAGAGATGAGGCCCAGGCTTAACACATCATCTAATGTAAGAGACTGAGATGTGTGCTGCTCTGTTAACATCCTTCCAGGGAAGTGCTTTAATTCCAGATCAAGAAGGAACATTATCATCTCTTGAGTCATCAACATCACTTCCTGCCTTTCTGTGTGCATGTTCATAGGAAATCTTTAATCTAATTTTTTTCAAAGCCAAATCCCACTTGGCTAGCAAGCTTAGGCTAGATCCAGCCAAAAACAGTATAGGCACAACAAGTTTCAACAAAAATTATTTGTTGCAAGAACACTCTTTGATTCATTTGCTCTTCCTTGGCTGAATCTCGACTACACCCATCCTGATGCACATTTGTAGACTGCCGTTGCCATGTCAGAGGATCCAAGTTCAATTTCTGCATACCCTCGTGATTTCTTCTGGCTTTGAACACTATCCAGGTGGCTGCACAAGGGGCTACAGAAATTACAGGGAGATGGCAGAGTTGGTGAGAGTACTTGCCTGAGAAGCAAAGAAAGGGGAGATACCCACATTCTACCAGCCCATCCCCATCCAATCTGCCCACAATATGCTGTTGTAAAGAGTTTGCAGTGAAGCTAGGGATTTGGCACTAACATGGTGTGGAATAGTCATCAGATATTTAAAACAGAACTGAGAGAACAAAGAAGGCTTTTGTAATGCAAGGCAGCACTGAAAACCCTGAACCTCTGCCAGCCGGCTTGCATGGAGTGTTTGCTAATGTACACAGTGGAGTGCATTCCTCGCATTTGATTACATTACAGTTTTATATACCAGGTATATGCAGAGGGTTTTTCTTAACTCTTTAAGTCCTCCCTCATTTATAAATCTTAAAGGGACTCACAGTGGTTTCAACTTCTGCTGTCTTGTACATGCATGCAACTTCAGTCATGAAAGGCTGATTATGTGCTGTGGGCAACTGCTTGTCAGTGTGTAAGTACAATTATTTCTGCTGCTATAAACAGCAGAAGTTATTAAGCATGAAAGAATTAGAAAACTCATTCTTGCCTTACTCATCCTATAGTCTTCTGCATCTCCCTTGATTTAAGCAGTGAATATAAAGAGGCTTGTTTAAAGGACCATATTGTAAAATGGAGGATACAGAGACTGCTATTAAAGCTCCCTCTTGTTAGACCAGGGAGAAGGAAGCCAGGAACCCCTGGCTGGCCAATGCCACATCCTACCATATACTGTATTACAGAATGTCTACCATAAAACGAGGATCTCTGTATGTGCTCTTCTTGGTGAAGTTCTTGGAGAGCTATGGCTAAAATGTGTTGCCTGTAACTAAGCAATGTTCTGTGCATTCAGGCAAAGAATCTCTCATTTGTGTAATGTGAGGAATACAGATAAAGGACCAAGGCCTAAACTGCAGGGCTTGAATGCTTAGTGCCAAGTGGTTGAGAAGGGCAAAGTATTCTTACTTTTCTGTTCTGCTAATGCACAAAGTGAATTTTTTAGACAAAATTTTAATAATACACAATTGTATTTTCAGAAGATCTGCTGTGGTGTCTTTTATAAACTTATATATAGTTTATGAATAGTTCTACTATTAAGTTATAAAGTTAGAAGGTTAACATCTGTTAATTAAAAGAGAGGCACTGAAAGAGATATTTGTGGTTAAACTCTCCAGCACCCATACTTTTGCCTGTAGTTTAATGTTAGTAGCTCATAAACCAACATCTAATTAAGCCCACATTTAACTGGAAATTATTTTTTCTGCTTAGTCACCCAGGGAAACAATCAAGAAACGAAAGTTAAAGCATCTTGACCAACATTTGGGTGTCAGGTTTATTACTCATTAAATTTCTACTTCCATACTCTAACTACTTAAAAGAGCAGCATTTGCCTTGTAGGTAGAGAGGAAGTGCTTGGTGTCTGGAATTAGATGGTCAGAGAGAAAGGAAGGTAAAAGAAGGTGAAGGTTATTGCAATGGTGGGGAAAGTGTACACAATGACAGATAAGGCTGGGGCAAGATGAGGGAGAATTAGGCCAGAATAAAGGCAAACTAAGCCACTGACCTAAATCTCCTTAAGTCATTTAACGATTCTTAGCATAGTGGGAATGTTTCCAAAATAGATCCCAAAGCAGATGGGTGTAAATAAAGGACTTAGGAGAGCAGCGATGGGAGTACCATATTTTGTACACGTGAGCAGGCAGACTCTTGCTGGAATATTTGTATGTGCTTGAATTTGTAAAGAAAAGGGAGAATAATTACCCTAATCAAAAATTGCATTATTATATACCACAAGCGCATAGACAGGCAAGATACCCTGTTTCCAAACTATAGGTATTTTCACTAAAGAATGACAGTAAAATTGCCATACTGGCAGAACTAACTTACAAAAGAAAAGCACTTTTTGAAGTTTCCACTTAAACACTGATAAGTCTTTAAAACTATTATTAGCTGTGAGATCCTTCTTTGGACAGCAGTAGAAAATGTGACAATTTTAGGGGTAAAAGGGAACTGGAAGCATCACAGAGGGATGCTTTCTTATGGGAAAGTCAATGTTTCATAAAGTGTACTGCAGATGATACATTCAGACAAATAGCTGCATCCTATTTCTGAAACAGGACTATTTCTGTGTTATTCATAATTACTTTTTCCTACTGTTAGATTGTGCAACTTGGAAATAATGTGACACTTCTGAAAGAAATATTTTTTAATATGGAAATTTATTTTTTACTATGAAGAAAGGGGTGGAAGGCACTCAGATAATAGCATTTCTCAGTAATCTTTAGCTGTAATGATGACAAAATGCTGCTGCCTCTCTTTAACACTCGGCTGCACGTGAATGTAAAAGACCAAGACTCATCTCACATTCCTTCTGCTCCCAAAGGGTCACAATACACTAACACATTTCTGCAACCACAGAGGCCCACATAGCTCAGTTATCTTTTCTTTACCATAAGACATGTATACATGTGTGCGAGATGGCACCCTTGGATGCCAGGAGAGCATTTTTGACACCTAGCTACATACTGCCTTCACTTTACAACCAGAGCACCATAGCCCAGACATCTGAATTCCTCAGCTCAGGAAAAAAAGAGTCAAAGAAAAACCCTGCTGCTAAGTCAAACACAGAAAAACAGAGGTGATGCTGCCAGAAGAGGTGAAATTTAGCCACACCTGCAATTATCATCCTGTGTTCCAAGAACAGACCTTTGTCACAGTGGCATAGAGCATCAAGATCTCCTGATGCAGGATATGGAAACAACCATAAGGGTCAAAAAAGCTGGTCTACACAGTGACTTAAGGAATGTGGCCCCATTCTATTCTAGGCTAGACACGTACAATGCTGAGGACTGGAATCACAGTGTGATGTGCACTTTTATAGCCTCAGGCTTTACTTTCAGTAGGTACTGCATTTGGGATGATTTGAAGAGTTTTGATTTCACTTGCTATGCAGCATCTTGGTTAGCTAATAACAAGCCACCTCTCTTGGCACAAGTGACCTGTTCAGTTTAAGGCCTTCACATTTTTTCAGGAGATAATTATAAGAAATTTGACATGTAAAAGGGATGAATCTTCAAAACTTCCTCAGGAGAAGAGCTAACAGTGTCCATAAATTTCAGTAGCTTCAAGAAACTCCTTTGCAACCCTCTACACTGCTTTTTAAACAATAATAACGTGGAAAACATGGAACTGTACCGTTATCTCAAAGGAGAAACCAGAAATTTGAATGAAAGATCAAGCTGATTATTAAAACAGTATGCTTTATATTGAGTCTAGAAAGAGAGACAGAACAGAGAAAAATGACCCTCGTGTAACATAATGTTACTTTATCTAAAGTTCACAGAGTATTAATAAGGGAATATAATAATTTCTCAAACATATTCTACAGTTAAATATTAAACCTCCAGATCCATCCTGTGCATGGCTGCAATTAACATATACAGCCCTCCTATAGAACAGCCTTGCTCTAACATCACATGTGGCTTACACAACACGGAATCCTGCCAAAACATCCCTGGTTATGCATCAATAAAGTCATGAGTGCACAGCTCTGGGAATGGTGTTGGTTATGTTCTACATGAGAATCAGTAGAGGGAACAAATAACACTGTGGCTTTTTCAGTTCTACGAAATAATGAAAATGGCATCTTTCTTTCCTCCTCTCAGTGGAGTAATGGAACAGTAGATAAACTGTGGAAGACCACAGCTAAATATTTAGAACCCACAAGGAAAAAGTCCTTTGAAAAAATCAAGCTATTTCACTCACAGACTGGGAAGAAAAGAGAGACAGAAGGTTTGTTATTGTTATTTCTATTTTTAAATACATATGAGATGCTCAGATACTATTTTGATAGGGGCTACGTAAGCACCAAAAGAAAGAAGGATAGGATTTTTTTCCACGATGTTCTTATATCTTTGTAGTGTTGATCCAAACTTCAACCTTTAGCAGCACCTTTTCCAATCAAGACATCTGGAAATGTCTCAAAACCATTTCAAAAATCAGTGGAAATACTGCAATATAAAACATGACCTTCAGGCTGTCTGGAGCTATGATGGGTATTTGGAATTTCCAGGGGTTTCCTCCAAAATGATGATGTTTAGTATCTGCTCCTTGCCACCATCACACAGTTGATGTTTTTCATTTAAAGAATGCTCAAAGGCTGACAAGAAAAGTTACTTAGAAATTTTGAAGCATGTTTGAGTTCATTAGGTAATTATATCTTTTAATCTTCTGTACCTCATTTTTCCCACCTTGAGAAGATTCTACTATTAAAAGACATTTACTTATCTAAGAGGATGATTAAGAAGCTAATGACTATTT